AAAAATAAAAAAAAAAAAAAAATTAAATTTTTTGTAGTTAGTAAATTTGATGAAATAGAAGTTTTATTCCATGCGATAACTCTTTAACAACATGAAAAAGGAATGGAATGGTGTTCTACAATACAAAAAATCAATAACATAATAGTTTTGAATCATATATGATTCTAATGTTTACATAATTTCTTGCTAAACAAAAATAACAATAAAAGTATATTTTATAAATGGTAATCAGTGTACAAAATTTTGACTATGATTATAGATATTTTGTTAGAAAATCGATTTATATACACAAGAATTGCTTAACTGACAACTCTTAAAATTTACCATTATGTATCAATATTTTATAATTTGTATTTATTATTCTTTTTTAAATAAATAATCTGTAAATCATTTTATCAACTGTTTTTAAATATCCTAAATATTTGAATTGAACAGACACGATGTATGATATTAAACCCGAGCTAAAGAAATGTAATAAAAGAGTAAAAACATATTTGTTTCTACCATTTTTTACGATCATTATTAATACTATATATAATTCTAACTCTGACTTCCACCCTCCTCTCTCTCACGCACACACACGCGCGCGCGCGCGCACACACACACACACACTCACTCACTCACTCACTCACTCCCACTCACTCCCACTCACTCCCACTCACTCCCCCACTCTCTTTCATACATACACCTGTTGAATATAATAATGCATTTAAAATATTTCATACATACATACTAGTGCCTTTACTGGTAATGAAATTTCACTACCATTAACACAAAATAGTGTATCCAATTTGTTACATTAAAGACTGCTGATAAAATTTAATATTATCAAATTGCACACAAATATTTATATACAATATAATGGAACTGTAACACATGCGAATAAATATATTGAACACACGGAGGTTGTAAAATTAAGATGTAAACTTCAAATACTACTCTATATTCCGCATAAAAATTATGTTTAGTATTTAATAAAAATAAAAAATTGTTTATTTTTAATCCTTATGGTTATATTCATTTTCTGCGGAAAATAGATCTATTTAATAATAAAAGTATCGCGTTATTAAAGCCTCCAGAATGACTCTATATTTCTCAAATGCTTGTATCTGCCGATGTTCAGACGTGTTAAACATATACTTAAATCTGTTAATCGTGCTAAATTCACACATTTAAAGTAATCTGTTACAACTATGTTTCATCAAAGGAGGTAACTATCTTAACGTTCGGTCTTTGTGATTTGAAAGTTTCAACACCTTGCCTTGTAACAGAGGTGCCACTTACATCCAGATGCTCGAGACTCGATGCATTTAAAGCCAAATGTGCAAGACTTGAGTTTGTTACATGTGGATAATTTCTGGAATATGTAAAATACTGTTATTTATTATTGTTAAATTTATTTTATAAGTTACAAACTTCCAATATATGTGATAATACCTAACAACCAATGTTTTTAAATGTGGGTTATTAAATATTCGTTTATCTCCTTCCACAACTATGACTTCTTCTGCTGAGTTATTAATTATACGATCACATGTATCACTTCCAAGAGCACAAATTGCTCTATCTGTTATTAAACAACGTCCAAACATATAATTTTCCCAACGAAATCCATCTTCGACCAAAAACTAGAAAAGGAGAAAGAGAAAAATGAAAAAGAACTATAATAATTGTATATAAATATAATTTCTTATATATTATTAGCATAGTTACTTGTGCTAGATTTCCATCTTCATATACAGGGGGTTGGTTAAAAGCTTCTCGTTGTAATGGTCGTAGTTCTGAATCATGTAACTCTGCATTTCGTAAACTGGAAGGACATTCCAAATAAAGATGTGTTAAAGTTTTGGTACAACTAAAACATCCAACTTCGCTATCACCAAGTGCTGTATCTCGCAAGTCAAGGATCTAAGATACATAATTATTGAATTATTTGATTAATTAATCTATTGAGTGAAAATACTCATAATAACAATAAATAAAATTATTTACCTCTAATGTTTTGAATCCAAATCTTGTAGCTAAACTAGTGTATGCGACACATTCACCTAAATGGTGGCATGAATTTAGCCTTAATTCTTTTAACTTTGGCATTTTACTGATGACCAACAATGAATGTGGAGTAAACCATTGACAATTACTTAAAATTAAACACTGAAAAATATACACATATAAAATGTTATTCAAATGGTATTCAAATATATACATAATGAAAACGAAACAAACAAGAAAATAACAATATAAAAAATAAAAGAAAAATCGTAAGCAATATTATATTTAATCTGTTCTTGTATTCATATTGTTGGAATATCAATATTAATCACAGATTGGGAAGAAAGTCAGTTATTTAAAAATGAACCTACCAAATAATTATTAAGTGAAAGAACTTCTCAATTTTCAATTAGTGTAAGCAGTTCTTCTGTAACTTACAGTTATTCATTTGTAATAAAATATAAGAAGGTTGTATTTACAGCAAAAGCTAATTAAATACATAAATGCTAAAAAAAATAATTTGGAAGTACATGCAACTGAAAGGTAAGATTCTTACTGTTAGATTAGGCATATGGAAATTCATTTTGAAAAAATATGATTTATTACTACGTAGATATCCCATTTTGCAGCCTTCTAATGAAAGTTTTTCAATAGTACTTGGAAAATCTGTTATTTGAATCTGTAAACAAATGAAATAAATATTATTGATAGAAGAATTTATTATTTTTTTCTATAAAAATATCTAATTAAATACCTAAACTTACCTTGTCTCCATTAATACAATAATCCTCTATAATTAATTCTTTAAGTTGAATACATGTAATTTTAATTGAATTGAAGAAGCAAGGACTGAGTTCTGCATCATTTTCACAATATAAATTACCACGTATAGCAAGACTTGTTGTTATAGGTTGAAGAAATTTAATATACTCTTTTAAATCATTTAATAATATAGGTGTTGCTCGAAAATCCACTCGTCTCCATAATGTTTTATCTTGTGCTACTTGAGCTAATCGTTGACAAGATCTATTAATATGTAATAGAAACATATATTGTTACTTATTTTTATAATATTAATGTAATTATATACCAAAATTTTCCAAAACTTACAAACTTATTGCCATAAGATCTTTAGGATTTAAATATTTAAATATGTTCAATAGAACATCATCAGAAAAGTCTAATATATATGGATGTGTTATTATATCATTTATTTTTTCATTTGCTTCAAATCTGATACGTTTCATGTCTTCTTCACTACTTGAAGCTTTAGGAGATAAAGATCTACTGCGTTTCATTTTCATTTTTTTTTTACACCTGTGAAAAAAAAAACAAAACATTAAACTAAAACTTTATTATATTTTAAAGTATTAAAACTTTTATTTGAAATGCCAAAAATTTCAAATTTTTGAGGATAACTTTATATATAATAACTTAAAATGAATTTAAAATCTTATAAAAAAAAATTTCTACATTTTTGCATAATCATCATTTAATCTAGATTGACCAAATCATATATGCGTTTTATTAAAAATAATTTATGGATATATATAAATATATATGTACATATAACAAATTAAATGATTAGGTTTCGGGAACACTTGTTCTTCTAATGGTTTCAATTCTTCTTGCATCTTGCTTCAACAACTTTAAAAAACTGAAAGTGTTTTCTGTTTTCAAATTGAAACTGACGTAAAAACACAAAGAAAGTTTTGTTCACAAAACAGTCTAATTCTGACTGCTGAATAAGCTCTGTTTCTTTGGCTGAAACCCAGAAATAGTGATAAAATTTCTGCCAACCATATGCCACTATGATCAATGATTCTATATAATTTTTTATATATTTTATAAATAAATGTAAATATTTTAATATACTTAAAGCATTCCACTTATTAAAAAAAAAACTATAAATAATTCCATAAAAAGTTTATTTTACAATAATACCTAGAATTTTATTTGCAGAAACAGAAAATAAATAAATTATATAATAAATACACATTATAAAAGACATCAATGTTAATTTTATATCAAAAGTTTGCAAAACATGACATTATAACAATTGATATGTAATAAAATTTAGATGTTTATTAAACATAACTTTAATATTATGACAAGACATTATATATGTTATGAATTTTTATTTTAAAATTGTTATTCGTATAAATAAAATACCTTTTCTACTTAAACAAATCATAAAGATTGTTTTATTAGTGTCAAAAATCAACAAGTAATAACATAACCTTATGCTAAAAGTAGTGCCATTATATTATTGACACTTACCTAATTATTACTTACGATCTCATGTACAGATTATTATATATTGAGAAATATTAATTTAAATGTTGGCTGTTTTAACATAATGCATTTCATTTATTTAATGTATTTAAAAAATATATACAAAATGATGACTGCACACACTTTTCTGATCAAACTAAACAACTCCGTATAAACTCGACTTTAGTTCACTATAGAAACTTTTACGTGAAAACTACATAGATTAGAAATTAATTTGCAAAAAAATAAGTGAAAAAATACGAAAAGATATAACTGAAACTTTATACTCTATTCTTATATATTCAAGGAGTCTTAGAAAGCATTTAGTACGTTCTAAAATGTTTCTATAATTCTATGTTACGAATGAAAACGAAGCAGTATTCTAAATATTGAATTAATATTTTTTTAAAACTTACTTCATATTTCATCAATATTATTTAACAATTTTTATTGTTTTTTTTTACTTGAACTACAGCTAAGATAAACTACACATAATATTCACCTATTTCAGTATTTTGTTAAACAATGAAATTTCGAAATTATTAATTACTTAAAATAAGATTCATTCTTTTTATAAATTGCTAACTATATATAGTCTATACATATTTTGTACCTTTATTCATCAACTGACAATTTAAAATAGCACACTAAATTAAAATCATATTATATATCTAGAATATTAAAAAAAATACACATATCGATCGTTTTAATTCATTAATTTAGGAAACGTAGCTCGATATCTTTTAAATAATTACAATTTAATAAAATTTTATAAAATAAAATTTAATTTGAATTCATTGAATAAACGAATTTAAGCAGTATATATAAATAATAAATGTGTATAGGAAGATTGAAATTAGTCGTATACTGTTATTTTTTAATATATTATAATATATTTAAATATAGTATTAGTTGGAAAATATATACAATGTAAAATATAAAAATTAACAGTATAAATTTTAAAAATAATCATATTTAAACAATTAATATCATTTTGTTGCAAGTTGCACATAGCAGGGGGCTACTTAAAATCAAAGTATCATTTTAATGTATTATATCTTTGAAATAAATGATTTTTATAATCTTAATAATTAGGCACAAAGTATGCAATTAATAAAAGCACTGTATCTTTGGATTTAATATCTACTTTACAGTACTTCAATATAAATAGAGGTATTTTCTGCTTAGCTGAGAATACCATTTCCTTAGGAACAGTGCACTAACAGTTTTTTGTCTTACTCACTGGACTATGTTATATACAATGTTATTACTATAAATCTATGTACTTCAAATATACACCTAGTACTAGCTGATATAGAAACACAGTCTTAAACTCATTACTTTTGTTTTGATATATATGTACAAGACTTTATAGTAAAATAAAGTCTGACCAGTAATTAAAATAATTCTTTTGTACTGTAGAAAGTTCATTTACATTTTAAGACAGTTATTACACAACACAATTTCGTTATTGTATGTCCAATAACAAATGCTGCATTAACATTTAAATGAAAATTTTATGTTTATTTTAATAAACAATATGCAATAACATGGTCTGTAAAAAATACAATATGAAATTGTGCGATTAAAATTTTTCACTAATACTTGTTATATGCTGAATATAGTGAAGAAAGTGCATGTAATTAAATAGTGCTATAATAATTTGGAGTAAATTAGAAATTTTTGGTAATCTAAACTTATTTTGCAAGAATACAAAATTTTGTTTAGTATATAAATAAAATATTAATAATATATATTGGGAACTTTTGTTTAAAGATACAGTTGCCCCCTGTTTTTGATCTTGTTACATAAAAGTTAAATAAAAAGGTATAAATTAAGTAATAATGTATGCTAATTATATACAGATGCAATAAAAGTAACATGGCTTAAGAAATGTAAATTCTCTCAATTCTTCTTGATTTTGGTCAATATATGTTGAAATTTAGCAAGGAATTTAGATAATTATAATTTCCTATATACCTATGTCCAAGGTTCACTGTATGGCACGCTTCCGTTAGAAAACGACTTTAAGGTCGTAATATAGTGCTATACAATATATACATACATGCAACATACACGTATATATATGTATATATATATATATATATATATATATATATATATACATGTCGCGTGTGCGTGTATGTATATTGTATGTACGCTTAATCGAAATCTTACTTATAATGAAGCTAATCACCTGAATTTACTTTACATTTATTTTTTTGTTATTTACCCAATTTATACATAATATAAATTTCTTTGGTCTTAGATTTTGTTTCTGATTATTCTAAGTTTACATACAAATCATATAATTCTAAAATACTTTGCAAAATGGTCATAGATTGTTGCAATCACTGGTTAAAAAAACAAACACAGAAAGAAAATAATTTCATTGATTTTGGTAATTATGTATCTAATATATATAACTATAAAAAATATTGCACAAAAAACAGAACAATAATTAATATTTTTATCAAATTGATTTGATTATTTATAACATAAATCTAAATATTGATTATATCATTAATTATTAATGGAAATGTATAACAAAAACATTATACATCTGATCAAATTTATAAAAGAAAAAAACATGATTATTACTATTATGCTATTCTAATTCTATTAGTTTAAACAACCAAAATAATAGATAATGCTTTATACTTAATATTCTGATTATACAGTGATTTGATATCTTCATTTTAAGCTAATAGAATTGGAAATACATCTATAATCAGGTATTGGAACAACCTCATGACTATCTACGTACACTTAAATTTTGCAGCACACTATTTTTTAGAACATTAAATAACAGTGTGCATTCATACAAAACATAGCATGCATTTCATACATGTAATACTTTACTGGCAAAATATATGTACAATATGCTTCAAGTTAAGCTCATAAGCCACTGAAGATTCTACTTTCTGTCTGATTGATTACCGGTAATATAAATAATAAGTTATTTAACATTTAATCTGTTTAAAATAATGATATTTAAATCCCTTTTCTTGCCTTATTAAAGTACAAAAAATTTTCTTCTCAAGTAACAGCAGGTATATTTAAGAAAATATCTTTGCGCGTCAAAAATTTCTCTGTTCACATGACAACAATTTTATGATTATTATCATTTGGCAAGAGAACATAATAGACACGCTTCCCCTTATCTCATTGAAACTCTTGTATATTATTATGATACTGATTATTAAATGAACCATTTGGTTGTTCATTTCTTTCAATAACACTTTGCATTTCGACTGTTGATTCATTATTAGACTGTCCATTACTATTATTTAGGCTCCCAGAATTAGTAACATTACTTGTCACTATGTTTACATTACTTGTAGTATTAGACTGTTGTGTTTGTTGCTGTTGTTGCTGCTGCTGTTGTTGCTGTTGCTGATGACCATTTACAGAATTTTGGGAAGAATTATTATTATTCTTTGATCTATGCCTAAGTTTGTGTGTCGTTAGATATTGTTTTACAGAAAATGCTTTGTGACAAATATCACATTTGTATGGTAAAGGATCCTGACAATTTACACCATCCCCAATAGTTGAAGCATGAGTTGTTAAATGCATTAAATAGTAATGTTTTACCACAAATGACTTCCCACAAGTTTCACAAATATAAGGACCTGATACACCATGTGTTTTACGATGCTTGTGAAGATTGTCTTTTCGAGAAAAGCTTTTACCACACATTTCACACTCATGCATCTTTTCACCAGTGTGAGATACAGAGTGTCTAACTAAATGTTCTTTGCGACTAAATGCCTTTGAACACGTGGTACACACATAGGGACGTTCACCAGTATGTAATTTCCTATGCTGGTAAAGATGTTCTTTCCGTTTAAATGGTTTACCACAAACATCACAACTAAATGAATTGCTATTAGTTTGTAAAGAGTCTTCTTTATTACTACTATTATCAGAAGTTTCACTTATAAGACTCTGAACAGAGCAACTATGACCATTCAATTGATTTATAGAGGAAAAAATTTTGCCACACTCTTTACAGGTAGCATTCCTGTGAGTTTGTGAAATAACTTGAGGATTCACAGTAATTAAAGATGTTGGTTCAGGTCCTGATTTGATTCGTAGAAATTCAGAAATCTGTCCGATTGAGTTACGAGATATTGTATCATCCGATTTTGCATAATCTTTAAATTCTTTTGTATCGTCTCGAACAGTTTGTGTAACCAAAGGAGTTTCTTTAAACCCCAAATTTAAAAATACCTCTGGTGTAGCTTGTACAGTATAACCTTGTACATTTTGTGCTCCACCTTCATCCTTTTGAGTTTCAGATTGTATTTTCTGAATAATTTGCTGATTTTGTTTAGTTTCAGGTTCTGCCTTTAAAATAATATTATTATTTTGATGTACCACCTGTGTCTGAGGTTCTTGTTTAATAGGAAATTCCTGTTGTGTAGCAATTTGCACTTGTTTTTCGATTTGCTGAAGCTGTCTATGTTGTTTCTCAAATTCTCTTTGCTGTCTTTGTAACTGTTGAATCTGTTGTGTTATTTGTGATTGATTTTGTTGTTGTTGTTGTTGTTGCTGCTGTTGTTGCTGTTGTTGTTGTTGGTTGACCTGTGTTTGATTCTGTGACTGAGAAATTTGTTGAGAAATTTGTCTTTGTGATTGTATTTGTTGATTGATTTGGTTATGATTTTGAATTTGATTTTGCACTTGTTGAATTTGTGAGGTTGGACTTTGTTGATCATTAATTTGATTTTGTGCTTCATTTGATTGTTGAGGAGATACTTGTTGTGAAGTCTGTTGTTGATAACTATAATGAGTTTCTGCTGTTGCTTCTACAACAGCAGCTGCCATACCACCTGGTTGCATCTAAAATAAATTAATATTAATTACATAACCTTTTAATTAATCACATGAAAATTATTATATTTTAGAAGAATTTTAATTTAAAATAAATTTTGGATGGAGATATAAAAAAGTAAGTCAATAAAAGAATAATTAAATTTAAGTAACATTATAAAAAGATAATATACCTTTTGTTAACAAGAATATTTGCTTTATTAACAAACCTGCATGGCACATTTGTATTGTTGAACTCTTGCTTGGACTCCACTGATAATTTGTATATTAGAAGCATTTATATTACTAACAACAACGGGTCGTTGATGCTGTATTTGTTGATCATCGTTGACTATTTGATTCCCTGTTGATGGTATTACCTTTTCTATTGACTTCAATACTTCATTTTCAGGTGTTATAGGTCTATCCTTTTCTGTGTTTTTCACATAAACTTTACCCTCCTTTAGAAAATCTTCAGAGAATCGCAGTGAAGTGAAATATGATTCTAACATACCCTCTGCACTTACAACTGTTTCTCTGAATTCAATAAAATTTTCTAATTTCTTTACACATTCGTGACAAACGATTTTTGGCAAAGAATCCTCTTCCAATACCTTAAATATCAATAAAGTCTTGTATACTATTCATAAACACGAACTAATTACTTAATTAAATTACATTATTAAATAAAGAATCATGATAATTAGAAATATCTATAAAAAATTGTCTCTTTTATAATCCGAGTTTTTCAAAATCTGTTTCAGTCGAAACAAAAAATATGTAGTCTCACTTGTATAGGCAAATACGTTTGAATCTTTGTTTGAAGTTGCCGTCTGCGGCCTTCTTCCCGGAAGATGTTCATTTTGTTTCCTTCGCTGCTAGTACACAATCTGCACAGTTCGTAGTAATTCACTCTTCGATATCCAGACATTGTTTTCCCGCGGAAAACTCAATTGCGCGACCTTAAGAAAATCGCGAATAACTTTATTTCCGAAGAAATACACACGTAACAATGATCACTGTTGCACTATCATCGTTGACGATGCTGTTTTGCATATAAAATAAGATTCTGCTTGATATCGCATTTCTGAGACTACGTGAATTGCATCCGTGGCCATTTGCAGTTTGTGATTATAGCGACAACGAAGGATAACAAAACGCGCTAAAAATTTAAACTTGTTCACAAACCATGTACAAATATATATGAGTTTACAAACATAAAATAAGCTTTACTTGTAATACATTATTACAAATTCTTTTATATATAATATTGAGATCGCTATTATTTTCACATACAACAGCTATTAATTTAATTGTGCTTATTTGTATTTACTTACAACATTAAATAATAAAATAAAAGTATGTATTACAGTACTGATAGTTTTAAATCATTAGTACTATATATGTAAATATAATATATAAAGCAATAAAACAAATGTTTCAAATTTCTATTTTATATAATATAAAAAATGATAACTGTGCTTACTTTGTTGGTATAGCATAATAATTCAATTAAAACCGAAAATTATAAATATTATGAAAAGAACATTTACAAATTTTTGTATTACTCTATGACAGGTGAAAAATAATGATTTCAGTAAAAGTTTATGTGAAATACGTTATGATATGTATAACAATATTTTATGCTTTGCGAGATCCAATCTGATTTGAGAGCGAGCATATATACATCGGATGAGGAAACGTGGAACATTGAACCGGATACATGAAAATGTCATCAACTGGTAGTTTCCTGTGTAGAATAGTATCAAGAATAGCTTTAATGGGTGGTGATTGATCAGTTTTAATTCTACAATTTTGTGTCGATGCGTGCATTCAGTTTACAAAAATATGTAAAAATGGAACATATTGATGGTAAATTATGAAACAGTATCTATTGATCGAGAAAAAACGTAACAAGAAATTAGTACGATAGTACGGGGATCCTAACCTTATTAAAAATGAAGTCAGGTACTACGGACAAACATAGAGGCTCTACGCTTTTAAAAGCGGAAGAAAACGAACAAGTCTTCCAATTGATAGGAAATCGGTGCCAGGTAAGAATTATTTTGACGAAAATTTTTCGGTGCGAATTTTATAACTGTCATTGTAGTACAATGATTTTGACCTAAATTTTGCCGACCGACAGATATAGATAAACATGATCTATATAAAATTGTATATTATTTATAAGTATTTTTGATATTATTGATGTTATAATTAAACGTTAGTTTTGTTTGCTTATTATAAGAAAAAAATTAACAAAAAATTTGTTATAAATTATATTTGATACTGATATATTTAATAGCGCATAAAAAAATTTCAATTTTGTAAACATTGTAATGATTATTTTATTTAAAATTAACTTTGGTTTCATATTTTTTTTTTACATCATATTTTTCTTAATGACATTAATAGATTCATAATTATGCAAAAATAATATATTGTACAATTATGCACTTTTATCTATTTAGATCTTAAAGTAATCTTAAAAAAATAATTATATTAATATAATAGTTAATTTTTGAGTGAATAACATAGTTAATTTTAAGTGAATAAAATTATAAAATGTTTATTCCTTGCAGTGTTTAGCAGCTGGAATTATTCAATTATATTTAACTGAACCACCTTCACACAAAGAATGGATAAAAAAGACTACAGGTATTATAACATTGATAAGAGATAATCCTAGGCGTAGTTTTTTCCTTCGTTTATATTGCTTACAAAGGAAAGCAATGCTTTGGGAGCATGAAGTTTATAATGCAATGGATTACAAAGCACCATTGACTTATTTCCATACATTTGAAGCAGAAGATTGTATGGCTGCTTTTAATTTTGCAAGTGAAACAGATGCTGTTACATTAAGGTAAATTATATGGTAATTAGTAGTAATTACAATAAGGTAAATTATGAAGTAAAATAAATATGTCACTTAAAGGATTAATGTATGTTTAATTGTGCATTTAAGTTTTAAATTAAATTTTATGATAATTTATTTTTCTATTGTGTTTTAGTTAAGCGTTTTTAAATATGAAAATTAATGAAACAGGAGACCAATGACATAATTATTTATTTTTAGAAACATTCTTCTTGGTAAGCTTGATGCCAAACGTCAAAGAAAACAGCAAAGACGGTCTAAGGTAGAAGGAGAAACTCAACATGGTGCGACATTACCATGGAGAAATCAAAGCAATACATCACCTATTGCATTTAGTACAGGGTCAACTTCTAATTTATTAAACGGAACTCCAACTACAGTTGGTGTTAATAGGAGTGCTTCTAGTAGTTCTATGTATAAAAGTAAAAAGAAAAAACGAGACAAAATCAAGAAAAAATTGACTAAAGATGATATTGGTCCTCCATCCAATTTTAGGTTAGAACTTTATTAAATTATTATATTGATTTATGGTTTTAACTATAATTGATAAATGTTTTTTATATTTATTAAAACATTTTTAGACATGTTACACATTTTGAATGGAATGCCAATAGTAAAGAATTAGAATTAGAAAAACTTGATCCACATTTAAAAATCTTTCTTGATAAAGTTGGAGTATCAGAGCATCAATTCAGAAATCAAGACACACGTGATTTTATTTATGATTTTATTGAAAAAAATGGTGGTATGAATGCCATTAGAGAAGATATATCTTCATCTATTCCAAAAACTAATGTACACCAGCTACAACAATCGCAGCAATTACAACCTCCAATAGCTCCTCAAAGACAAGAATATCCTCCACCAGTTCCTGCAAGGACTATACCTGTTTGTATAAATCTTTCTGTATAATATTATATGGTTATACAAGATAAGTAATTTTAATACAGTGATATTTTTACAGCATCAAACTCGAAGTGCTCCACCACTACCTCCAAATCGATTTAATGCACCTTCGACACCACCAAGTGCACCACCTAGTGCACCACCAGTTCATAGAACATTGCCTTCTCGACCACCACCACCTTCTTTAACTTCTGCTCCATCACTTCCACCACCTCCACCTCCACCACCTCCTCCACCACCTCCTCCACCTGCTCCAGTTCCACGCTCTAGAAATAATTTGGCTACACCTGTACCACCGCCACCACCATTACCTAATTTACTAAGTACTGATGATGGCACTGTCAATACAAGTGCTACCAATAATAATAATACTAGTAATAACAATAATAATGAAGATATTGCTGATTTGAGGTCAACACTCATGGAATCTATAAGGAGTGGCACAACACTTAGAGTTAGTACTAAAATTAAGGATTTTCAGTTATGTAATTTAAATTGTATCTTTGATTTTGATGGTTGTATGTTATTTTTATTTTATAGAAAATTGATAAGTCTGAAATAAAACAAAATCCTCCTCCTGGGGATTCTAGAAATGCTTTGTTAGAGCAAATTCGTCAGGGAATTGAGCTAAGGCCTGTCTCGAATGAAGTAAAAAGTAAAGTGACACCAATATTTCAAGGAGGATTAGCTAGTGCTTTATCAAGGGCTCTTGCTGAGCGATCAAGTGCAATCCATAGTGAAAGTGATGATTCAACTAGTGAAACCAGTGATGATGATGAATGGGATGATTAACTTAGGTAAATTAAAATTTAAAAATGTACTAAATTATACAATATAATTTAAATGACATTTTCTTAATAAAGATGTAAAATATTGTTTCAGATGGAGTATACAATTCGAGGAATAAAATAATGTATCACTGTGATAAATCTGCTATCAATAAACACATAAACAGATTAGTTACTATAAATGTATAATGTAACAATTCTGAATTTGATATCCAAAGAAGAATGAAAATCATATGTAAATGTTCCAAAAAAAGGAAATCATTTAAATGTGTTATCAGAAAGTAAGGCACAATTACATGGATAGGGCAGGTAAGGGCAGAATAAAGGTCCTAATATAATTTAAAAGAAATTGTTACATACAATAGTCTAAAAGAGGAAAGAAATATATACAAGAAATATGGTGTTATATAGCACAACAGGTATATAAAAATCGATTTTTTGTTCGGTAATATTTATTTGTTTAACTGAGAATCAATATTTGCCAAATAAAATGAGTACTATAAAAATAATTATGCCTATTCATACTGTTTATGAATATTATAGGAAATACAATAATAAATACAGTTAAGTAAGAACTAGTGCAACTATGTAGTACAGTTAATGATATTACAAATTTTATGTAAGTTCATGCCATTACTTTAAAAGTTAGCACACTTCCTGTATGACTGTGAATTGCCCTAGTTTGTCCTGCCCAATTCGTGTGAATCAAAGTACGCATAATTTTAAGTTAGCGACAATGTTAGTGCAAAATGCACATTTATGATAAAACAAAACTGTAAGCTTATAGATTTCCGAATTAATTGAAGTAGATCTACCAATCCAAATAGAATAAAAAAACAAAGGAACTATAAACGTTACATGATTCCCAGGTTAATACTCTGCGATATTACAATAATTTTGGAAATGAATCGTATAAAAAATACATCGAAACTGTATTAATTCGTAGGAACTAATATCTCCGTATCTGCGTGTATTATCATATAGGTCGACTTTTAAGAATTTCAACTTTCGTATATTATAAAATTAATTGCATTAATATATACCTGACGTTTCAAACCCAGAATCAATTCTTACGAAAGTATATGCATCACTTTTAAACCCACCAGTATATTAAATATTTACTGAAAAAATACTTTCTTGCGCTTATTATTTCAATTATAGACGTAGAAACACCTTAGCGGTGTATCTAAATAGCGACTTGTATTTAATTAGTTATAAAGTTAGTAAGTCTTTAATCATTTTTTAAACATTTTAATGATATTCCATATTTTTTCATTCTTTAACTTATTATCTCAATTCTGTCGACCTTCATTCTAAGAAAATCGCGGTCATGATGTTTCGTAGGATATGAATTAAACGAAGTAAATAAACTTCCATGACGAAATATGATCATTTTTTCATCGTTGGACAATATAACTTATTCGTTTAACTAAAAAAGCAGCGCATCAAACAACTCTTAGATATATTCTATTAAAATATGTAAATGTAAGTTTACAATTAACAATGTAGTAAGAATTGTATATTTTCACGTGTGTGATATAGGTATCGAACCCACGGAGGTGAGATGAAAACCAAGAAAATTTTTTTATGGGAATGTATGAAGCACAAGATAGAATTTTACGCCACTATGGAGAAATCCTAGTCACACAGAAATGAGAAACAAGAATATGTTAATTATTAGTTATTGTATTTTATTATATTCTATGCAATATTATTGTAACGTAAATACTGTTCGACGTCCGAACTTCTCGTTCGATTGACTAAAAATCACAGTTGCAGGATTTTTACCTCGATTAGTGTCGAATCTAAGAAGATGAGTGGGTAATGAAGGAAAGGAGAGCTATAACTGTGTTTGTTAACTAGAATAGAGAGAAAGTAGCGAGAAATGTTGAAACAAAAGACTTGTTACGGATGATAAGTTAATAAGATTGTATGGAGAATGAGAGAACTACAAAATTTTACTTTGAACGCATTATATAGAAGTACTGTTGCATTTAAGAAAAAAAAGAAAAAGAATTATCAATGGACATACATTTTTGTCCAATTTTAGAAGTACATTGTTCTTCTATTGAATGTACATATAACATAGTACATGTTACAAATCGTATTCGGTTTGTATTGTGACTACCAAATGTCAGAAACTATAAAAAGGAACATAAAACAATATCAATTTAATTTAATATGCAACTACCTTTGACCGTTTTATTTTTTATATTATCTAAAAAATAAATTCATGTATAATTTATGGTGCAAATTTTATGAACTAACACAGAACGAATATTTCTTCCTTGTTACTATGAAAAAATAAAAAATTATACCGCTACAGAGATGATACGATTCATAGAAATAGGAGAAACTTAAATCCGTTATGTGTAGATACTTCTAAAAGAATCGTTGAATATACATTAAAGTAATGTTTATACTATTTATTTAACAGTCAGCTTTTATATGTACTGGAAATTAGGTTAAGTAGATCAGATGTATATATTGGTCTAGCTAAATATTTTTGCTATGAATATGATGAGACAAATAAAATATATGTGAAGTAAACATATTCTACTAAATATATAAACATATAAATTAAAAAAAAAGAAGTAAACATTAAAATTTTTTAATTGGATTCATAATGATAATTACCTATTTTACTTATAAAATTCGACTTTTGTAGTTGTATTAAAACATATGAAAAATATCAAAATTATATATCAAAATTTTAGACGCGTTAAAGAAATTTTCGCATAAACGTGATTGTTTTGTAAAAAAAAAGAGAAAAGAAAAGAAGATAATAAAAATGGGACTAAAATTACACAACTATGTACATCTAAATTAATTTCATAATACTAATAAAAGTATAACCCCCTAAATTTTAGAAAAAAATAACTTCTTCATAAAGTTGTAATTTCTCAGAATTTATATCATACTACTTGTGTAATTAAAAGTGTTGACTTTATAGTTGAATGTTTAAGATACAAATGTATCAATAGATGCAGACGAGAAAGGAATAGAATGTAATTTATTCATTAGGAGCTTAATCGTTTACGGAAGATGTTGAAACGAATTCTACAGAAGTAATTCGGTGAGAACTTGTACGTGGCACCACTTATTAGTTTATAATACTGATATAATCAGTAGATTTTACCAAACAAAAAAATGATCAAGTATTGTGAAATAAAGACACAATTCTTTCTTTCTAGAAAAGTATCAAATACTCGCTCAATTATTTATTTATATTTTGATAAATATTATATAATATATTTACATAAAAAATAGAAGTATATTTTAATACAAAATATTCACTTAAATTATTCTTAAATAGGAAAAATTCATCTCTAATGATAATGTTTTTAAAATGTAGGACTATAATTAATTTATTCGATGTATTAATTTGAAATATGTTACTGCTAATCGTACGTACATAAAGAAAAAAAAAACAGAGAGCTATCTGATTTCATGAAATTCAGTATAAATTATTTATTTGCACATCACTATTGACTATTATTTATCACCTGAGGTACTGCAGTAGGAACGGATATACTAAATGCGGCAATAAATACGTTTATAATAGTTATCAGAAAAATACCAACCACCACGTAATTATTGATTTTTCGGGCCTGTATTGACTTCGATTGTCCTTTTATGTCAAATCGACCTTTGAAAATTAAACTGACACCTACGGCTACCTAAAATTGAATAAATTATAGTATCTTGCTGATTAAACATACTCATAGCTATTTTAAATTCGTTTGCATTTGATTAATTCTTCGTTATCATTATACATCAACATTTGGACAAGATAACAAATATATAAGATGAGAAATATATTTATCATTAATCTCGTAGCACTGATGTTCGTCTTACCTGAAGAAAAAGACTAATAATGATTAAGCTCATAATCAGATAAAACGTGGAGCTTTCCCGTTGATACTCAATTAAGTACCTTAATTGATTTGCGTTAGCGGTAATGAGGGCAATATCCATCATACCCTGGGCTACAGTCTTTTTCGCGGCATAAGAATTGGCTTGTTTGTACGCCTGAGATTTTTTGTCCGTTGTATCGACGGATTGTATAGCATCTTTCACCACCACCTCTTCCACCACCTCCAGTTTGTTCTCCCTTTCATTTAGATCCATGCTATACTCCTGCATTGGTTTCACTTTCTTTTTTTATTCAAGCACGCGATGTCTTCATTACGTTTGGCCTTTAGACCAAGATAACACAATAAACAATCTTCACTCCTGAAACTTCATAGATTCCAATCTGAATATTAATCACATACTTAGCAGAATATATCTTTTACTTCCAATGTTATTTATTATTATTTGTGTTATAAACACATCTTTTTTGCTGTTTAAGAAATAGATTGTTCAATTGGTCTTAACTGAATTTGGATCAGATATTGCACAACGGCTGTTTTGTTTCGCGAATTTGAAATGGATTCATTATCAAAAATAAAGAATAGGAATACACATGATGAAGTATCAGAAATTATAAGTGTAGATTTTAAAGTTTCCAGTAGCAATGCAACTCGAGTACTCGATAGTTTGTTAAAATTTTAGATAAATCTCATTCCGCATTTTAATCATTTAATGACCATTGTTAAAAATAAACAACACTGTTCGAGCATACCTATGTGTTAAATAACTCAGATGAGAATTTCGCTTTGAACAAACTCCTGCTTAGTAGTTTAGTCGAATTTTAATTATCGAATTATTAATCGATTAATATTAAAATTAAAGAACGGCTTATTATTTATGTAAACCAATGTAAAATATTATTCAGATGACTTTCGTTGTTTATTCTTTATAGTAAACACTTCTTCTGTATTCTTATCGAACTTTAATAAAATTATCGAATTGTCAATCGATTAATATCGAAAATGCAGAATATTCGTCTACGTGCACTCGTGCGAGATATCATTTGGGTATAAATTTTTCCCCTAGTAGGTAAATGTTTTCTAATTTTAATCGAATGATAATTAAACTACCAGATGAAGAGATCGATGTCGGTAATGGAGGAAACATTAAAAGTTCTGTACTTACTTAGACAGAAGAGAAACGTAAATAAAAATATTGTTAGTTCTGTTAATGGGTTATGATTTATGGGAGGTATCGTTAGGAGCGAAGTCAGTGTAATAATAACGATATTATCGCGTTACTGTATATGAAAAATGAACCTGGGCGCGGTTTAAACGAAACCGCATGTGACGTGTGACTGCAGGAAAATGCTAAGGACAATGGAAGTATATACTCAACGTGTGTATCAATTGAGACACTAACTGTTAACTATTCTATCACCAGCTTATCATCCGGAACATATACTTATTCGAATGATAAAAAAGAGCAAGAAATCGGTAGCAATGATTGTAAACAATTCCAGCTTTTGTTCTCATGTTGATTACTGCTTGATTAGAAACTCTATATTTGATATAAAGTACAAATACTATATAATAAATAGGAAGATATTAATATGTTAATTTGGTTAGATGATTGAATGCACGTGGTACGAAATTTTTCTTCCGCAATCTGGAATTACGCTATTTGATGAAATGATTGATTACATTGTTGTTTTGACAGATGATGAGTCAACGCGTGTGATTACTTTCTTTATTTTATTCCAGTTTTGAATGGGATAGGTGAGAAAGTTTAGTAATGTTAGAAATATAAAATTTTAATGTAATTTTTAGTAATATAAAAATTAAGTTTCTGTATACAAAAATATATAATGTATATAATAAAATATGAATAAGCTTAAAAAAATAGACGAAATAATGTTACAAAAATTATAAACAATAATAATTATTTTTAAGAAGAATGATAATTTATACAAAAAATAAGTAGTAATATAAAATATGTAGTAAGGAACAATTTCGTATTATTTTCGCCAGTAATTACAAAATATATCATTTCTATCCTCTTGATTGGATTTATCCAATTATATTTAACTTATGCAGCTTACATTTTTTATTTTATACATTATCTAAGAACGATACTGCGACCTCTCTTGTAGTATTATCAACAAACTCACAGAATTTCATCATAAAGATTTTAGAGTCTACGTTTCACATTCTCTCGAGACAATTTGCACAAGAACGTGTTGCAATTTCTTAGATGAGCCACGATGCAGGTGAGTTTCACGTTTCTGTGATATGTACGCAACTGATTAATGTGAAGATTAAGTTATCGATTTTATTGATCATTCAAAGTGATACTAGTGTACAAGAAGTGAAAATTCGCAAACATGAGTTGCATTGATCAGCTATGTTTATGCATACAGGGCTGCAAAAAGTTATGGGGAGGCCGTTTCTCTGAAGATACGGATCCAAAATTTCATGAACTGAATGCATCTATTGATGTTGATAAACGAATGTACGCCGAGGATATAGAGGTTTGTATCTTGGAAGAAAAGGAAAATTATGTTTATTGTGTGTTGAAATATATAGAAATTTATTTCTATAAATCGAGAAAAGAAAAATATTTATTACATGGAGACAAGTATGACAAATACAGTTATAAGCTATAAAAATAGGAAAAAGAGAAGATATCATAAATGTATCAATAATATATATCAGAGAAGATATATACTTATCTCGAGGTTTCAGAATTTTATAAGTTAGTACAATGTCTATCATAAATATTCTTTGATATTGTCTAAATTATCCACAGAGTAGCCTAGCATACGCAAAAGCAATACGATCGGCTAATCTCCTTTCGGACGAAGAATTGCAAGCTATAATTAATGGCCTTCAACAGGTATTGAAAAAATAAATGAATATAAAATTATTTAAAACAAAGAATAAGGAAATCGTCGATTTCCTAAGAAAAAGAACTGCAATAAACCATAATTAAACATAAAAAGAACTTTGGCGCAGGTGAAAGCTGAATGGGAAAAGGGTCGATTCGCCATACATGTCGAGGACGAGGACATCCACACTGCAAATGAACGGCGACTTTCGGTGTGTACATAGCTAGTTAATCACATGCCTTATTTTTAACGTACCACTATATTTTTATCGAACGGAAGTGGTTATCTTGTGCTACTATGCAATAGCCATGAATTTATTTCTTAGTTATTTAGTTATTTAACATACTTATAGAAAGAGAATAATGAATGTTCATAGAGGGAAAATATTACTTTTCTCTCATTGTTCCTTATAATAACAATTTTAATAAAATAATAACTTTGTCATCAACCAACAGGAATTAATCGGGAACGTAGCGAAGAAATTGCATACCGGAAGAAGTCGGAATGATCAGACGATAACAGACACAAAATTATGGCTTCGAAAGTCTATAGACGTGCTTTTAAAGAAAATGACGAAACTAATTCAGGTATGAAAGTCAAAATTACGTATCGACATATGGAAAACCATAATTCTAATGGACAGTGTTCATAGGTTCTCGTCGATCGTGCTGTAAATGACATAGAAATTATTATACCCGGGTATACGCACATGCAACGTGCACAACCAGTAAAATGGAGTCAATGGCTGCTGAGGTATAAAAAAGGATAAATCAACACGAAGATGTTCTTTCTTGAAATCTAAAATTTGAAATAAATGAAAGAATACACGTGAGAATTAAGATATGTGATTTATAATGGCAGTTACGCATGGTACGCGAAAGCGGATGTCGAGAGATTGCAAGAGATTCGAAACCGAGTAAACGTATTGCCTTTGGGCAGTGGCGCAATAGCGGGAAGTCCCTTCCAAATTGATCGACGTTCCCTGGCCAATGAACTGAATTTTTTTGAAATAACAGAGAACAGTATGCATGCTGTAGGGGACAGAGATTTCGTCGGTGAGTAGAAAACACTCTTAATGAAGTAAATAAGATGAGAACATTAAAAACAAATATAGCTAAGGTGTCAGAAAGATGTCAAAAGAGAAAAGAACTTTTTCCCATTTTGCATACGTAATACTTGCACATTGTACGTTTTGCATCGTTTCAAGCTGAGTTTCTCTTTTGGTCATCATTAACGGCAATCCATCTGAGTCGTCTCTGTGAGGATTTGATAATTTATAACAGCGAGGAATTCGGTTTTGTGAAATTCTCTGATCAATTTTTGACGAGTAGTAGTTTAATGCCTCAAAAAAGCAATCCTGACTGTATGGAACTGATTCGTGGGAAAGCTGGTACCCTTCTTGGAAAAGTTTGTAAATTCCATCAATTTTGATAGTTAAATTATTTAATTATGTTGTTTCATAGTGTTTTGTTTTAGTGTATGGGTTTTATGACTACATTAAAAGGAATTCCATCTACTTACAATAAGGATCTTCAAGAAGATAAAGAGGCTTTGTTTTCTACTTGCGATATCTTAAATAATATATTTGTTGTCATGACTGGAGCATTAAACACGCTTGAGGTGAATAACAGGAAGTGTGCAGACGCACTAACATCTAATATGTTAGCAACGGATATGACATATTATCTCATTCGAAAAGGGGTCAGTAATCAAAATATAAAAGGCAAATCATATAAAGTAATATTTTAATTATTATTTGGTACTGATTTGCCATTTATACGATCAATTTTTAATAGATTCCCTTTAGAGACGCTCATTATTTATCTGGAAAAGTTATTGCTCTGTCAGATTCGTTCGAAGTGTCTCCTTGTGAGTTGACTCTTGAACAATTACAAACTGTGAGGTAAGCAATTTCATTCAATATTTCTTTCGTTGAAATATTTAATTTTCCACATTGTATTTTCCAGTGAAATGTTCCAAGAAGATGTTATGCAAATTTGGAATTTTTCCAATAGCATTGAACAATATAAAGTTGCAGGTGGAACTAGTACATTAGCATTGAGAGAACAAATTAATAATCTTCGAACTTGGTTACAGCAATATAATTTTGCCTAAGAAATAAAAATAATAACGTGTACCACTTGATCAATGATGAATAACTTTAAAATAAAATTGCGGGAAAAATTGGAAGGCTGTTTGACGTTTTCCTTATTTTACTAATTTATGTTCAACTGTTATATCACTTCTACAATATGTCATCGTTCTATCGTGCGTTAAGTATCGCACAAAGAAGTTCTTTTACCATTTCTCATCCGAAAGCGACGAATTACGTAAAACGATAAATGAAATCGATTGTCCATTAACATTCGTTAGAAAATAGACCGGAACCCGTGTCGCTGTCACGAATTATGTTAGTCGAGAAGATAGGTTATGCAGCGATCATATATTGGGGCTACAGGTTTACCCATTACATATTCTACCGAATATACAAGAATTTTTTTTCTGTATCTGTGGTCGATCTATGCTCCATGGGTAAGTGGGCAGTCGTCACAGGTTGTTCTCATGGTATTGGAAGAGCATATGCAGAAGCGCTAGCGAGGATAGGATTGAACGTGATCCTAGTTAGTCCCGATACAGAAAATATAAAAACGATCGCATGCAATATAGAAGCAATGTATAATGTAAAAACGAAAGTGATTAAACTGGATTTGTCGGAAGGTCTGGAAACGTACAACGTGATCGAAAAAGAGATGTTCGGCCTGGAAATCGGTGTATTGATCAACAATCTTGGCATGTCGTACCCTCATCCAGAATATTTCTTGGATCTTCCTCATAAAGAGAAGATCTATATGAGTATCGTTCATTGTAACGTAGTTGTTGTAACAAATATGTGTCGCATTCTGTTACCGCAAATGGTAGTTAGAGGAAAAGGAGTGATAGTAAACGTGGCCTCAATGGTGGCCGTGTTACCGAGTCCTCTGTTGACAGTATTCGCGGCCACAAAGGCGTATATTGTAAAATTTAGTAGAGATTTGCAGATAGAATATGGAAAACATGGAGTAATTGTACAGTGTTTATTACCAGGCACAGTGACTAATCATACAATAGAGTCACCACGATCGGGCTGGATGATCCCGACACCGGAAAAATATGTTCAGAGCGCGATTAGAACTATAGGGAAAGACATTTTGATTGGAATAATAAAATTCATCTACCGAATATCGCCTAGTTCCATAATCATTTGGATGATCAATATCATGGAAGGAAATCGGAATAATGTATTACGTCGATATGTCGGATGACTTTGTAGAAATATTTCAATATACAACGTTTTATTAAAAGAACATATTTCTTGGTTTTTTCTTTTATACCATAGGACAATAGTATTTAAAACAATTAAACCTTAGAGTTATACAATAGGTGTTATAGAGGTTATTTATATAGAGCTATAAAAATTAGTAATATAAAAGGATTTATTATACCACCAAATTTTTAATAAAATAAGTTTAAACTGAAATATGATATTCAAAGATTTCAAAAAATTCGAGAATTACAGAGAAAGTTCAGGGGATTCTTGAAATTTCATAAATACCGGATGTATTGAGAGTAAGAACTAAATAATTGAGTTGAAGTTATGCATATATATGTATTCGTGAAAAGATGTATCGCATTACATATTTTATTACCGATACTTAGTTATGAAAAACGAAAGAGCATGTACAAATAAATTATTTATTAATAAAAAATTTATATTAAAAATGTGATAAAAATATTTTCATATAAATTTATATCGAGGAATAAAACTGTTGCATTCATAAATGTAATAAATAATTTAAAAAAAGATATTGATGGATAGACAAAGTATAAAAGTTCTAACAAAATTTCCAAATTTATATATCGTTATATAGTGAAATAATATATAAATTGATCGTTACTGTTTTTTGTGATCTGATTTTTGTTTACAACGTATTCTATTTTCGTCTTGTGAAAAATATATAAATGATTATATTTATTATTACAATTAATTATTATAGATATAACTTTACAATAAAAATATAAAAGCTCTAAACTTAGAGCTTTTTTTTATTCAACGTATCCACATTTTATTATACTAAATAATTAAGAATGACATTTTTAATGATTCTAATATAATCTTATTGCTACACGAGAATTTCACTCTATATTCTATAGCATCTATAGTAACTATATATATAATATATATTATTATTATATATATATATATTATTTTATGCTAAATCGGTAACGTTGGAAACGATACTACAGTGGTAACTCTCATTCGTAATTTTTGTGTTTCAATAGCTCGAAAATTTGGTTACAATATCAGTTTCGAATATAGAAGTTTTGTTTAACTTCAGTTCTCTGTCTATTATAAACAGTGAATTATTTTATTTGAAAACCTAATTCTTTGGTAATAAATGAGGAGCAGGTTTGTTAATAAGTGACGTATTTTTAGAATGTTGCGTCAAATACTTATCTTTTCAGTATGTTTTTAAAATATCTTTTTGTGTTATAATTATTAGAATGTGGTAAAAATTTGTAGAAAAATTGAATGTGTATATTAATGTGTTAATAAATATCACTGGCATCGAACAGAAAATACATTGTTTTATTCATCAAAGATTGTATTGTTATTGAATTAAATATTAAAGCACAATATCTTTCCTAGGCAGGTATTACATATAAAATAAAGAAAGGAATACCATTTGGTATAAGATATATAAATATATCTAATCAATTTACACGTTTAATTTATTCCAAAATGGACAATACTCGGTATTATAGTAATCCATATGAAGATTATCCTAATTCTTCAGCAAATATTATAGATACAGATACTAATGAGGTAATTATTTTATTTATGAATTATATAATAATTAGATTATAAATTATTTATAAATTAATGCTTGTTAGATCAATGAAGACTACAAAAAGGCAATAAGAATATATGTAAAAAAATTAATGAATCGATTAGAAAAGAGGAAAATTTATTGGACTTCTATTGATGACTATTCTGTATATACTGGGTCAGCAGGGATTGCATACATGTTTTATCAATATGGAAAGTGCTTTAACGAACCAGCTTATATTGAAGTATAGATTTTTTAATCAATACTCATATTCTTTTAAAAGAAAATTATCATTTCTCATATGTATATTTTCTTGAGCAGAAAGCAATGGAACTAGTAAGAATATGTATACATAAAATTAATAGTAAAAAAGAAATTACATTTTTGACTAGCGTTATGGGTCCATTAACTTTGGCTGCAGTTATTTATCATACAAAAGGACTTTCTACTGCAGCAGTGATTACAAGTTTAAGGTATATACTTTAATAACTCTCATATTTTCCTATAAACATAATGAATTTATAATAATAATTTTTGTAATACCAAATTTAAAGTGCACAATATATTCATTTACAAACATATTAACTTCCAGTATAAAATCATTTGTTACTGTTGTTTTGGATGAAAGTAATGATCTGTCTGATGAATTACTTTATGGAAGAGCTGGTTATCTATTTTCCCTTCTTTTTTTGAATGCAAATATATCTCCTGCTCCTATAGAAGATAAGTTTATTAAACAGGTATCATTATATATCAATTGAAATTACATTGAAAGGTATTAGCATTTTAATCACAATCATTAATAAAATATCATATCAGGTTATTGCACTCATAATTAAATCTGGAAATCTGTATTCTGCTTCACAAAGGTACAAAACACCTTTAATGTACACTTGGCATGCGACAGAGTATCTTGGTGGTGCACATGGATTGGGTGGGATACTTTATATATTGTTACAGGTATTATGTTACAGGCTTTTATTCTTTAATGTTCTTCTTTTGAAAAACGAAATGTATGAAAAAATTTTATTAAAATTTTTAAATATATTAATTTATTAATTTCATAGGCACACCAGTACTTGACACAAGCTCAGTTAGAAAAAGATATAAAGCCTGCATTAGACTTTCTTCAGAATTTAAAACATCCATCTGGAAATTTTCCATCTTGTATTGAAAGTGACGCTGATAATCTAGTACATTGGTGTCATGGAGCACCTGGAATGACTATGTTATTCTGTTTAGCTTACAAGGTTGTTGCTATTTAAGTTACATAATTTTCAATAACATTAAATTTTTGATATATAATTAAATATATGTATTTATCTATATAACATAGATATATGACGACAAAAATTATTTGAAAACTGCTCTACAATGTGGAGAAGTGATTTGGTCAAGAGGATTACTTAAGAAAGGATATGGAATATGTCATGGAGTAGCTGGAAATGCCTACTCATTTTTATGCCTTTTTCAACAAACAAAGGTTATGTTGAATTTATAATAGAAATATAATTTGATTTTAATTAATAATTTATTTTATTAATAAGTATTGGTTTTGTTTACAGGATGTAAAACATCTTTACAGAGCTTGTAAATTTGCAGATTGGTGTATGGATTATGGAAAACATCAAGAAAGGTACCCTGATAAACTATTTTCATTATTTGAAGGTATTCTATTATACATTATTATGGTCTTTATCTTTCATTAATATTTTATATTAAATTAATGTATTTATATAATATTTTAGGTCTTGCTGGTACAATTTATTTTTTGATTGATATTCAAAATCCACTTTCTGCAAAATTCCCAGCATACACTATTTAAATTTAATGTACTTCAATAAGTATATTAAATGAATAAAGAATTATTTATTTCTTACAAACTTTATATATAAGAAAAAATTATCCAAAGAATACAGTCAACTATTATAAACTATTTGACCACTTACACCATTTGTCTATGCATTACACACTTACATTTCGAATATGTGAATTAATATGTATTTTACTAATATTTAATAAATCTTATATTCTACAATATAGAATAAACATACACATTACATTTTAATGTGACATAATTAAAGGTGCACGAATATTACCTGATAAGGTAATTGATGGTTAAACTTTCAGAGAGGAAACACTTCAAGGTTTTTAAATATTAATTATATACAGACATTCTATTAGACTAGCTACAATAGTGAATAATTTTGAAACGAAATGTACAATAAAATAACGTAAATGTGACATTTTTTAATGGAATAATTTTAGGAAACCAAATTTAAAAATGACATCGTTTATATTTTTAGATTATACTAGTTTATTAAAAATATATATATATCATAAAAATTAATAGAGTAATTAAAAATTCCTAATACAAGCTACAATAATCAGATTTGAAGTTTCCCATGTCTGATTGCAGTATATGAAATTTTCCACATAAATGAAGATGACGTAAATAATATTTTCGGAAAATAAAAATTACCAAATTTATGATTACAATATTTTCGAAAGGTTATAAAAATTTAACGATAATTATTTAAAATATAACAAAACTGATCAAAAAATTTAATTATAGTTTTATGTTCAGTTACTTTCATAATTATTTCGAATTACTTTCTTCGTACGAAAAAAATTAAGAATTAACTACAATTCTTTTAATAGATATTTTTTTTTTAATCTTTTAATAGAACATGAAATTTTATTTGAATTGTTAAGTTACTCCACATGTATTCAATTGTTTATTTATGTGACCTTTTATTTATTATTTAGGCTACAGATTAGCCTAATGATTTAGTCATTATTTTCAAAAGCAAAAAATCTAGAACTAACATATATATCGAGATTATTAAATACTAATTAGTCAAATTATACAGATTCGATTGTTAAAAAAATTCTTTAATAATGGATGTGATTGTAAACCTCTAAGTATGGTTTTGAAATTATAGATTTAAACTTCTAAAATTTGTCTAAGTATGATATGCCTTGTATATTTTCTAGGAAATAAATTACGTTAAATCATGGTATCCAATATATTGAAAAAATTATATACTTTTTTGAAATGAATGTAATTGAAAAGACCAACAAAAATTACTGACGAAATTTTTAAAATTTGAAACAAAGTATTAGACAAAAAAATTCAAGTAATCACGTATTTAAGAGTACATACATTTCTAAAGATAATCGACTACAAAACCTGTTGGCAATTTGTTATTAAGAAATAATTTCATAAATAAGTAATTGAATACATACTACTTTTCTACTTATTTGCATAATATTGTTTGAGAAACATAATAATTATTTAAATTTATTTGAAATTTTATTACGAGAAGATTAGTATTGTGTCAGATTTTTTTAGTTCCAGGCAGACAATAGTAAAAGTGAAACGTCGATTAGGTATACCAGTAGACTCAATGGTTCCTCACTACATATTGGTTAACAGGCTACTAATATTCATAGCAGGTCGTGCAATGGTATTTGTAAAAGCGTAAAGGGAAAAGCTTAAAAGGAGTCGCTTCGTTGAATCCAAAGTATTTATGCATACACTACTACTATGTGCGCATACACATATACGTACACACACACGTCTAACTATACACTTTACCAAAAATCAAAATCAAGTAATTAAAGTACTCATAATTCAACATTACCATAATTATCTTGTAGTTACAAGAAAAAGTGTCAATAATATTCAAAACGTTTGTACAATAATGCCGTAAAACCTCGGCAATCAATAAATAAACAAAATTAAAGTTATTATCACATTTATGTCGTAAAATATCCAATGAATAGTAACATCACAATAATACCGATGTCATCGGTAACCGATTCGAATTCTCCCCTAGGGGGCCGATAATAAATAATCGTTTGAACGAAAGAAAAAGTAATGTTCGTGAGCGTTTCTTCTTGTGAGTATTAACTAATTGGAGGATGAATTCTCGGATACAGAAGTGACGTGCTACCGCCGCTTAGTAAGCATCTCGAGTATAAAAGCCGCTTCTGCCGGTCGCGCGCTTAGTTTCGCTCCACGGCGACCGATTGTGAAACGACGCACTCCCGACGTGAGTACCATTCACGAGATCGTTTTTATGATCGCTACTAGACCTCAACTTCCTTTTACCGCTAATCCTGTGGCGTTTACGAGTTACGTGGACATCAGAGAGTTATACTGACCAGTCTTGAACAGCTCAGCTAATATATCAGTCTACTTCTTTCCGCAATTCAACGTTAAATCGTTGTAATCAATGTTGAATCGAAAAATTATTTAGCTACCAAATTTTGTATTGTTTAGCATAAAGTAAGTGAGAAAGTAGATTCTCCTAACGGAAAAGTATGTTTCGCGTTAGCTTTTCGCTGATGAGAGTGAAAGTGTACATGTATTTTCCTAAAAGAAGAAATTAATGAGTAATTTGAAAATCCGATAAATCGTAAAAATATAGAACGAAAATAGAGCAGGGTTATAGTTATTTCTTTTTAAAGTTTATTATTAATCTCTGTGAGGAAAAACATACCAACTATAATTTGGGTTTCCATTTTTTATAATTTCATTACCCTTTTAATAAAGTTAAAAAATTAATCGAAAAAGATGTCGATATTATCATTTTTATAAATATTAATTTAAATTGTACTTTAAGTTATAATTGTAAATTCATCAGTTCATGTGTGAGAATATGTTCAATTTTTCCATTTTATGACAACATAATGTGTTAAAGTAACAAAACCCAATACAATTTATCATCTATTACATTTTCACTTTCATAATATAAATTTATTGCATCATATGTAATATAATTTTATTTTATATTGATATAGAAAATTTGATACCAAACTAAACAAATTAATATTATATAATTAATCAATTCTTTGACGTGATAAATGCCTGCCTTTTATAATAAAATATAATTGGTGAAAATCGTCATGTTGTTCACGTTCTTCAGAATAAAATTTCAATCTTTTCATTCCGATTGTGAGATCTACGCGTATTTTTTTGTCGAAATATAATAATTGATGAATTCAATTAACTCTTAATGCTTTGATTATACATTTTTGACGATTATATAATTACGTTAATTACAATAACAAATAATTTTTATTTAACAAAAAAAAATCTATTTTTTAAAATACCTTTAAAAATGTATATAGCAAATTGTAGTAGTGTAAAAATAAAAAGATAAAATATAAAATAATTATTCAATTTTTGTTTCTTTATTTTAGATGGAAGTCCGTTTTATACTATTAGCAACACTATTCATTGTGGGAGTAGCTATGGCATTTCCACAAAAAGATGGTCAGATTTTTAGTAATGAGGCTATAAAACAAGCACAGAATACTTATCTTATTCCAAAAGATGCGACAATACAAAAGGTTCAAGAAGGTATCGAACTGGCAGCCTACGAATCGATTCCTGGCGATCAGAAGATCAATCTTTTCGAAATCTTGGGAGCACACGTTCCATCGGAAGTAGTGAACAATCTCCAGACCCAGATTGACCAAATAGGACGGAATTAAGACTTACTTGCATTTCTCCATCATCATCGTCACCGTTCCCTTATAAAATACGCTTTAAACCTAAGTTTTGTAACAAATATTTATAGAATGTGATAAGTTTTTTTAATGATGTACTTAGATTTTTTATAAATAAATAGTTAAGAACGACGCCACCCGTCTTCAGATTCGTTTAAGAATTTTTATCCTGATAGAAGTTTGATAGAACTACAATTTAATAATAAGAGTTTTTACATGTATAATTATAAAAATAATCATTTGAAAAAAGATGATTTATTTTGCTCGACTTTATAAAATTTGTTACATACTTAAAATACTTTAAACTGGCCTCCCGCCAACATTGTTCGTAAAAAGAGTATTACAACACACATTCCAAGTAACATCATTCATTGTAAAAAAAAAAGTATCATTCGCAAATTGTGAAATGTCGAACTAAGTCACCTGCCAGAATTATATATGTATCTAGTGATGTGGAGAAAGCTGTAGAACCACTAACCAAAGGTGCACTTTCACTTCACCTATATTTACGTTAGTATTGAAACGATTCTTCTTTGGCATTTATTATATGGCATTGCCAAGAAATTTAAACGTAATATCAAGTTGCCAATAAACTTTTCTATAACTTCGTTATCAACAAACGTATTGAGAAGAAAACGATAATTCAAGCATACAACAAATTTCGTAAAGTTGTACTTTTAATTTATTTGCGCTTTCAACGGTAAGTCTTTCTTCTTCACGAAGTTAACAGGAAAGTAATTACGTAAGATTTCAAGGATGAATGAATTTTCATTTAATCTTTGTACTATTGCAAAACAGAGACAAAATTTTTGCTTGAATAAAAATGATAAAAAATTCAGTGATAGTGCCGTCTTTAAAAGTGTATGACCGTATTCTATTGAAATAACAATTTTATTCTGTGGGCACTCTGTCAATAAGTGACAATGTTTTGTACATTAATGATAAATAACTTAAAAAGTATTTATTTTGTTTACCAAGGTACAAATTTCAGAACTATACGAACAAAATTATCAAAGATTTTGATCCATTTCAGCTTTCTTCGCTTGGTAAATTAATATTTACGTTCTGAGTGTTTCATATATGACAGTTGCCACTAGTGCATTGTCTTGCATTGAGAGCGTATTATAATTACACTTGTAAGTTTCCTATTTCGTTTATTATAGTTACGAATTAATTTTCGTGTTCATTAATACAGAACAATACCATAACAGACAAGACAAGTTGCTTTCTTTCTTTTATATATACCATCTGTACAATGAATGCCATTTAATGCTTTAATGCATTGGTAATTCACAAACTTAATAAGTTATTACAAATACGTCTGAGTACTACTAGCAAACGAACAATGGAATGAAATGATACGTGTTAGTAACTATATTATATAATTAAGATCGACATTTTTTTACTTAAAAAAGAGTTTTATGTACAAGTGATAAAAAAACGTGTTCATACGTAAATTTATGTTAAATTACCCGTACAAGTTCATACATATTATATCACTATCATCAAGTACTGCCAAGTATTCGAGTCATAATAACACACTATCGAACTTTTAAATAATATCAACAAATCGTTTGCTAACAGTTTAAATGAATCAATGCAAGAAAATGTACTATCTTCCTAACTTAATCGACGTACCATAAGAAAGCTTAATACAGAATCAACATTCGGTGTTCATGTTTTTATATGTGCTTCCTCCAATGCGTAGATAAATCTTCCTTATTTTCTGTAATATATGTAAGTAATTTAAAAAATACTCTATATCGATTTAAATTAATTTTATAAAATATTCATATGTACTTCGATTTCTTCGATCCCCTATCATTTCTTTCTCCATCATCTTCGCGAGATCGTTTCTTATTGTTAGACGAAGAATGGTTGGACGATCTGTGTTTATCGTGCTTATCGTGTTTGTCGCTCTTCTTGGGACTAAACAAATACGGAAAATTAAATGTAACATCGTTAAATACATATGTACTTATGTTAATCACCTGTGTTTGGATGATTTGGAAGGAGACACTTTCTTGTGTGATCCCCCACTCCGCGATCGATCCGATCTTTAATTATTAAAACATATACTTAACACAATTTTACAGCAAAATTATGTCTTTCTATGTCTAACATACTTGAAAACCTGTATTATGAAAATGTGTAACTTCTTACCTATGTTTGTCCGACGACGATGATTTTTTGTCTTTACTACTGGATGAACTTTTACTTTTTGAACTTGAAGAACTCTTATGTTTTGAATTATGCCTATGGGTCATACATACAAATTAATATCAAACATAGAAATATATAGTATATCTAATAATATACCTGTCCTTTGATGGTGAAGGTGAATGTTTTCGACTGCCTTTCTTCTTTTTACTTGAATTATAATCATCGTGAAATCTATCTTCACCTCTTTCTTTGTCTTCTTCAGCTGCTTCTCGTTCCAAATCAGACCAGTCTTTACCTGATTCTTCAGAGCTTCCCAATTCTTCTTCTAAAGCATAAAAGGAACAGAAATAAATGGCACACAAAATATATTTTTCACTTATTTATAGCACTAAAATATAGTTTTTGAAGTTTACCTTCACTGGCTGAGTCTTCTGAAGCTTCAGAGTATTCAGAATCATCATCAGATTCCTCTTCACTATCCAAATCAGACGGCTAACGGCAAAGTATAATAATTATTACCCTTATAATAAATTTGTATTATATTGATTATAATTGTTTAATTGCATACCTCATAAGCATCATCCTCTTCTTCTTCTTCATCTTCTACTTCATCGTTTTCTGCATCACTTTCTGGATCTAAGAAACTCCAACCACCACTGTCAAAGAAACCTTCAGGATCGTCGGTAATAGTTTTCATAATCTTTGTCCAGTTCAAAGATTGTACACCTTCTGTATATCTGATATCACACGAACTAAAAACGATACAACATGTTTGCACTTCATTCTGAAATTAAATAAATAAAGATTAAGAAAGATATAAAAAAACTTACTTCAACCATTCCTTTACATGATCTAACATATTCATAGGAATAGCATTTAACATTGCAACTTTTCTATGATAATCTTTAAAAACAAAAATCATATCAAAATTTTTAAGGTGAAATTGTACTCTTTCAAAATGAACAAGTTCAACATCCTCCAAAGTGATCACAAATGGAGGCTAAAATATGAATAAATATTATGATTAGTAAATTATTACTTATATTTGACATAAAAACAATTATATGTACATAAGATAAAATGTACCCATTCTGTGAGATTAACTAGACATCCACTAGTAGGTTGCAGGAGAACAGTACTTCTGAATGGTGCACCAGGAAATCCCAGTTCTCGGAAGGGTGTATCAAATTCGATCTCTTGTTTCGTCATGCTTTCGACCTGAATGATATTTATTATTTCTTATATTATATATTATATTCTTTGCATTAATTAATTTTATGAAATAAAACACTTGAATCATTAAACATTACTTTTTCGCAGAAACTCTTAAACGCAGTTTTTAATTTATGTCTAAGTTCTCGTTCTGATTGCTCAGCAGCAAGATCGTCACGATCGTGCATGTGTTGATGTTTCCCTAAATCTGTTGTGATTTCACCAACTTCTGTATAAAACTGTACATCTACGTGTTTCTTTTTACCAAACATTATTGCGTGCTGAAAATAATTTGTAAATATTTAGTGATTAATCGTTCATAAGAGTAAATAAATAAATAAATAAATAAATAAAAATAAAAAAAATAAAAAAGATATGTACTTTTAAATGAAAATGAAGCAATATGATCATTTCACCATCACATGGTTGGAAAAAGGCATTCTTAATGTTATTGTAAAGAATATCAACTTTATCTCCTCTAACCGAAGTGTAACGGAATCCATTCACATGTGCTTCTAAGCCTCCTGTCATTCTCTTCGAAACGATATTTGGTCGAATATATAAGTCTTTTAGTTTTGGATTACCCTTATTTTGAGACTGTATTAAAGTATCCTGTTTTACAAGATCCTCTTTTTCTCTTTCTTCTGCTTCTCTATTTTTGAATTTCTTTTGAACTTCTTTAATAAGTCTAAAGGCTGTATTTAAATTAGAAGATGGTGCTGAAATTTCACCAGGCTCTTTGGTGTTTGTACTTCGATATGTTCTAAGAAATAAAAATAAAAGTTTTAATATTTATGTAATTCGTTTTAACATTGATTCGATATATTATTAAATATTATTAAAGATAAATGATAAAATAAAATTGTATACTAACACTTCTTTAACAAATGTAGCATCGGGCTGTGGATAAGATCCACCTTCATTTCGACCCATTGTGGCACCAGGATGAAAAAAATTTATTCGGAGATACGTGTAATCTCCTTCCACTGATTGAGAAATATTTTTGATTGTAGATATGTGAAAAGGAACAGGAATTCCAAAAATAGGCAAAATTACAGTTTCATACTTTTTATCTGAAATATAGATATATAATGACACACAGTAATGTATTAAATTTAATATATAAAAGAATATAAATTACACTTACCAACATATAATTTCAATTCCTTTACTTCTGATTCTCGTGGCATATGACTCAAACTTTTATATGATACTGTTGATTTTCGTATTTTTTCTTGTTCTTTTCCACCAGATTGTTGAGCCAACCGAGCTTTCGCAACTTCGTTTAACTGTTGTGCTAGTTCTTTTTGATGTTGTTTTCTTTTCTCTTCAGAACTATGTTCTGTCCTTAATTTAGATTCTATTACAGCGGTTCTCTTTCCACGACCAAGGATTTCAGGCTTAGGTTCATTTTCTTTTCCACTTCCATCTTCCTCCTCTTCTTCTTCATCCTTCACAAATATTCCAATATTTTTCACTTTTTTCTTTGATGGTGTTAAATTTGTTGCAGGTTGCACCTGAAATAAATTATTTTATTGGAATTTATATTTTTTGACATAGTAAAACAATTACAAGGGTTTAAATATAAGTCAATACCTCATTAACCATAACTGTATCACCAATGAAAAGAGCATAAACTTTTCCCTCTTTGTCAGTAGCTTCAGAATTGGAAAGATTTGCCAATCCAACATTAACATTGAATACCATGCCTTTTTTTAGTATTGCATGAGTTTTTGGGCCAATAAGTAAAGAACTTTCCCTAAATTCTATACCCATTGCAAATCCAAAGTGTTTAGTTAAATGATCTAACATTTCTGGTTTTTCATCTTTCACATATTTCACACCTGTTTCATATACTTCACTTATTTTCACTCCAGCCACTAATTTTTTCAAAATTTCCTCCTCTAATTGAAGAAGGAAATTATAATTATCCTAAAATAAATATTATTATTATATCATTCAACATATTTAATTTGCAATATCAGAGAACTATTATTCAATCTTTTATTTAAAATTTACCTCAATGATTTTAGTGGGATTTACTAATAATGTTCGAACTATATTGGAACAATAGGACTTATAACGTGCTCCAAGGGAACAGACAATGACACCAAAATGTAAAGTATTTTTATCACTAACGACGCTGAATTTCAAAGAATAATTTCCACCACTTTGTATTATCGCAGGGTAACACATATCTACCTGAGTAACATCAACACTAGTTACATACTTTTTATTGGTTATAGCTGCATCTACACCTTCTGCAAGTTTTGAATGTTTAACTTTCTAAAATAAAAATAGATATTTATTAAAACAAATTTCTACACATTTATGTTTTTAAATAAATTTTTAAATAAATTATAATTAAATACCTTATCAGAATCTATAATTTCCATGATTTGATCTTTAAGGTATTTGGTAAAAACGTCCACAGACACTAAACATGCCTTTTTTATGGTTAGAATTTCAGCATCTTCTTTTGGACACATTACATATGCAGCTGCAGCACTTACATCAACCTAATACATTTATTAATGTATATTACGAAATAATAATTATGTTTGGAATTGTATATTGCATATTAAGAAAAAATATCACACCGTATCAAAAGACTCTGACTTCAAAGCAGCTCTCCATGCATCCATAAAGGCACCTGGATAATTTTCTTTTGAAAAAACGCCCAATGTTTTACCCTTTTTACTTTGTTTTATAATTTTAATAAGTTTTGCAAAATTGGCTTACAGGAGGTACTCCAGTCTCTTCTATTTTCTGATTTTCAAGCTTCCTTAAAAATTCAATCTTTTTCTTACTAGCCAAGAAACAAATAGACTCTTCTGCTAAAATCATTATGGTATCAGTAAGTTCATAACTGAGTAGCCATGTCTGAAATAAAACATTAATATTAATTTTGATCCCATATGAATAGAAATAACAATACAATATTTATTAAGATAATAAAAAAAAGTTATATCTTAGTTATATAATTGTAGTTAATTTTAAACTTTATAATTCTACAAATTATTGTAACTTTTTACACTACAGCAAGCTAAGAATAGGTACAATATACTTGCAAAAAATGTGGAACTTTATGAAAATTATATTTTTAAGGTCATAAAAATTAGGTTATCCTATTGTATTCAGGTGTATAACACAAAATACAAAATACAAAATACAAAATATTGATGTACAGAAATACAGAAAGATATCACTTACTTGCAATGCTGTTGATTTGCTATACACAATATCTTCATCCGTGCCCACAGCAGAGACAAGACAATCCATTCTACTAAAACTGTCATCTGTACCAACTTCTCCATCCTGTTTAACCAAAACGATTATTCGTGTCTGTCAAATGATTACATTTATGCTTAATGAAAAAATAAATTATTACAAACATCTTACCTTCCAAGCGGTATAAAGCCGCTTCATACGTCGAAAGAATGTCTCTTTATCAACGGATACGTTTGCCATAGCTTCTTGTTTTCAACTCGTTCAGCGTAGCACAACACGCGGTTGTATGAAATCAACTCGACATAAAATTATAATAAATCTTTTTGGCGTAAACGATAACGAACTAAACATTCAGACGATAGAAAATGCCGTAATACTATCACATCTTCTTTGATATTCTTTATAAAATAAATAATATTATTAAAATTCGTCGTTCGTCGTGGAGATGGCGGGATTTATAACCAAACCGCAACTGTAATCCACAAACTACAATCCACGCGGCGGGAACAGTTTAATGTAATATAGTTGTTAGCCAATCAAAGAAAGTTCACAACGCTACCCGCGGCCATTTGTTTAACTAATTTTAACAGTCCAATACATATTGAAAATCAATTATTTCATATGCAAAACGTTAAAAAAATTAGTACTTTAAATTTTTCAATAAATAAATATTGTAATATAATTTATAATTTATAAAATATTTTGTTTCTTTTACATTTAAAAATATTATTTGATTATTAAAATATGAAGTGAAATTGTAAACAAATTTTTATCGATAAAAATTTATATTTACCTTCAAATAAAAAAAAAAGTGTTAGTAAAATAATATAAATGTAAAGGTATTTTAATACCTATTATTATTATGTGTACAAAAGGATAACACAATAATGTATTGCTTTGTTTTTTTTATTATATATCAGTTACAATCCATAAATAAAGTATATAAAAACTATACTCAAAAAAGGAATGTCAAATGTGGAATCTTACAATTTCTTATTCTATGGCTGATACGTTATATGCATCTATAAGTGTGTGCAGTAATGCATGTATATA